AAACAGGACATGGAGGTGGTCCTATTCGCCTACTAAATAGTAAATCTACCCAGTGCATTAAGAGGCCTGGGAGAGAGTTCAGTGGTAGCACCCTTGCTTGCTATGTGTAGGGTTGTAAGTTTTAGCTCCAGCACTACAAACCAAAACAAATAGCCAAGTGTGGTGGTTCGTGCCTGGAATCTTAGCAGGGGGCAGATGAAGGAAGAAGAATATCAAGTTCAAGGTAAGCTTGGGCAAGGTGGTAACTCTGACACTTGGTTGGGCTACAGAGTGAGTTCCAGGACAGCCTGGGCAACAGAATGGGAGCTTGTTTTAAAAACAAAACAAAAACAAACTGAGCAAACAAATAATGACAAAAGAAGCTACATTAACTAAAGTCCTACATGATAGTTGTAGATTTTATTTTTCCTGTTTATAAGGGATGAAACAAAGACTTGCATCCTTTCTGGGATGGATAGAAAGGATCGATTCCATTAAGATTTGGCTCAAAGTGATACTGATAGAGAGCCCAAGGTGCTTTGAGGTCATAAGTATTTTTTTATTCTCCAGTGTGTGTATATGCATGTGAGTACATGTATGTGTGTTGTATGTGTATGTGTGTGTGAGAGTGTTTTATGTATGTGTGTGTGTGTGTGTGTGAATGTGGTGTGCATGTGTGTGTGTTTGAGTGAGTGGTGTATATGTGTGCATGTGTATCTCTCTCTCTCTCTCTCTCTCTCTCTCTCTCTCTCTCTCTCTGTGTGTGTGTGTGAGGGGGCAGAAGTCAACACTGTTCTCCTGAATTACTCTCTGCTTTGTTTCTGAGACAAAGTCTCTCATTGAACCTGCACACGCTGGCTAAGTGGCCAGCAAACCTCTGTCAGCACAATCCCCCTGCCATCCCTTTGTCAGCACTAAGAAAACGGGAGTTTGTCTCCATGCCCGGCTTTTACATGGGTGCTAGAGACAACTCAGGGCCCCATGCTGCAGCAAGCACTTTATCAGCCGAGCATCCCTGCAGCCTTTCTTTTCTCAAATGCAAATTTGGCTTCATAACACAATCATCAGTAGAGTAATACCCCATGGACACCTCATCTCAGCACAGGCAAAGCCCCATCATCATCAGCATCTCCAGCAAGGGGGGTACAGCTGTGACAGCTGTTCAACCCACACTACCACATCAGCTTCTGTCCTCTCCACAGCTGGCAGGTGGGCCACTTGCCATTACACATGGGTTTGGAAAATGTATATGACATGCCACCATTGCAACACTGTCATTCTAAGTATGTCTGACGTCCTAAAAACCCCTGGCTATTTCTCTACCTCTTTGTTCCTTCTCCCCCTCCATCCTGGAAACCACTGGCATTTTTACTGTAGCCATAGTCTCCTTTCTCCTTTGGGCCATAGGTTGAATCATGCAGGATACTGCATTTCCAGGCTGCCTTCTTGAACTCAGACTATATATTTATCTTTCTTTCATGTCTTTTCATGCTAGGGATCATGTTTCTTTTTAGTACCGAATACTATTCCATTAATTAATGCACTGTATCTATAGACATCTGTGTAGAGGAAAATTTTATTTCTACATACATTTTAAACTCTGGGCAATTACCAAAATGTGTGAATGATGGATTTTATTATAAGATATTGTATCTGCTTAGTTTTTAAATTTAAAAAATATTAAGAAGCAACCAGGAAAGATGGCTTAATAGTTAACAGACTCTACTGTTCTTGCCCAGGAAATTGGTTTTTTCTTCTTTCTTTGAGACAGGGTTTCTCTGTGTAGCCCTGGCTGTCCTGGATCCCACTCTGTAGACCAGGCTGGCCTCGAACTCACAGAGACCCCCCTGTCTTTGCCTCTCAAGTTCTGGGATTAATGACAAGCATGCACCACCACCTGGCTCTGAAGTGAAAAAGTTGTAAATTTTTAGGCGGATTGTAGACTTGTATATACGGCTATCAGCTGTCAGATCAGAGGGACCCAGGGAGAAGCCGGTTTATATGCATTCACAGTATGTGAGCCCATTCACATGTGACTGTAAGCACACGCCATAGTGTGGAGTGCAGAGAACAGCATAGGCTGTGGGGCGTCCCCTTCTTCCTGGTTTTGAGACAGCATTTCTGTATTGTCTTTCTACTGCGAGAGCCAGGCTGCCCTGCCAATAAGCTTCTGGAGCATCTCTCTGCCTCCCTCCTCCCTGCAGGAGCACCAGGATAGAGATGCCCATATCATGTATCTGGCTCTCCAGTGGGCTCTGGACGTTCGAACTCAGATCTTCATGTTTGCACAGCACATGCTCTTATCCACCGAGGCACCATCCCATCTGTAGAACACACACTTTAAAAAGTCAAGCAGGCCTGTAATCTAGCACTTGGGAGACTGTCAGGAGAGCAGTGAGGTCAGAGCCAGCGTGGGATGCATAGTGGAATCTTATCCTACAAACAGCCTCTGTTCAAACTCCTTTTCGAAAAAAAATATTTTTAATAAAATTGCATGACTGCCAGCTTGGCTGGATCTCACATCTCCTAGGGCACACATCTGTCTGGGAGGGTGTTTCTAGAGAGGGGTAACTGATGAGAGAAGACCTACTCTGAATGTGGGCAGTGCTGTGCCGTGGCCTAGGATCCTGGACTGAATGAAAAGGCAAAGAGGAGAAGGTGAGCCACACACTGGTTACCTCACCTGCTTTCTGATGGGGCGAGTTTCTGCACGACATCTGTGAGCCCCTTCTGCCACCATGCTTCCCCAGGACGGGATTTGCTCTCCTGAATCGGAAGTCCCAGTAACTCCGTCCTCCTCTGAGCTGTGTTGTGTTAGGTACGTGGTCACAGTGATAAGAAAGGGAACCAGTGACAGCAGTTCTATGCAAATAGTGCTTTGATCCTTGGCCAAGCCCATGCTAGGATGAAGGGCTTGAAAAAGTTGAAAAAGATCATGCACTAGAAACAGAAAAAAACAGTTAAGTTTGTCTTTTATGAAATCAATTTGCTTTCACCTTCTGTTGCATTTATTTTGTCCAAGTAGACTGAGCAGTAGAAAAAAATGCTCAGGGAGTAGAACCTGGAAAAGAGGAATCCTGGGCACTACAAGCCAGTGAGGACACATCACTGTGTTCTGGTTTCCAGTGTGTTTTAGACTGTGTGAGCATGCCAGGGCCCTGCGCTTTACCATGGCTCTGTGCTTCTCTGAAGTGAGCTTCCCTTTCAGTGTCGTTCCCCAAATGAGCGTCTTTGCTTTACCTTATTATTACACAGTGTGTGTATGTGTGTGCATGTGTGTGCGTGTGCATATCTGTGTGCGTGTGTGCGTATGTGTGTGTGCATATGTGTGCATATGTATGCGTGTGTGCATATGTGTGTGTGCATGTGTGTGCATATGTGTGCATATGTGTGCGCGTGTGTGCATATGTGTGTGCATGTCTGTGCATATGTGTGTGCATATGTGTGTTTGCATATGTGTGTGTGTGTGTGTGTGTGTGTGTGTGTGAGTGAAGGGTGGAGGTCACAGGACAACTTTGTGGACTCTGTTCTGTCCTATTTTTACGTGGGCTTTAGAGAGTGAACTTGGGGGTCTCCAGGATGATTCAACAAATGCATTTACCCACTGAGCCATCTCACCAGTCTATTGCTTCTTAAAACTGCATCCTGGTTACTTCTTACATAAAACACAAGTATATCAATACTGACATGCATGTTCATGTGTACATTCTTATAACACTGTACTCTTTATATATTTAAATATCTCTATTAATATGCAGACCCATGTAGATATTATAAGATTATAGTAGTATCACTGTGCATTAACTCTAATATTCTGACACTTGTACTCTGAAGATCATGGTACAATTTTGTTAAAGGTTCTTCAGAGAGTTTTTACACTAACTCTTCAAAGATCACATTGGACTATACCGTGGGGAGGCTTTTTCTACTGATATATTGTTGCGGAGGAAACTCAGGGCAGTGTGCCCTCTGACTAATTTTAGAAGATATGCATTATCTTGTTTTCTACTTCCAAAGACTTGTTATATCTTCATAAAGCCTTAAAAATGTCATGTTACTTTCCAATATCTTGGAATTTCTGCAAGTTAATAGATCAGTAGGAAGATGGAGTTTTCCTTTTTTAAAAATATTTTAGTCCTAATTTTATATGTGTGTGTGTATCTCTCTGTGGGGATGTGAAGTCCATGAAGTCCAGAAAAGAGAGGGCTTCAGACCCCTGGAGGTGGAGTTCCAGGTGGATGTGAGCTGCCCAATACAGGCGGGCGCTGCAGCTGAGCCCTGATTCTCCGCAAGAGCAGTTCGTGCTGTTGCCGATGAGCTATCTCTCCAGCTCCTGGGGTTCTACTTTTTAAATGAATAATTAAGGGCCAGAATTTTCTTTGATATGTTATGGTAAAGTTAATTAGCGCCCATGACTTACAGTGAGGCATAATGAAAATGACATTGAATTGTGAATTCTAGGACAGAGTTGGTGTCTGAACTTCAAAGCTTAACCTGGGGTCAGAGTCTCTCAGCCTCACGCAGCCACTGAAACGTGTGGCTGATCACACCTTGGCTTGCCTGCATCCCCAGTGTTAAGATGAGACCGTGTGTGTGAAAATGGTCAGGCAGCTCGGAGATGTTGCTATTGTGATTAACAGTGCACGCCAGTTACTGTGTTAAGTGTTTGTATAATTCTCCTGGTAGTTTCATGGTCTAAGCGACATAAATACTGGAGCTCTACAGAAGAAAGTGAGGAATAGGGAGCCAAGGCACCTTGGTGGGTGGGAATGGCAAGCTTTGAACCCAGGACTGACAGTAAAACCCAAGCTCATAAACACACAGCTTTGATCATCCATCTGAACAGTACTGCTACGTTGTCTTCTGTGTGAACTGTTGAGGCAGGGAAAGCATAATTCTCCTATTAATACACCTGAATTTTAAGCATGAAACTTAAAATTTTGTTTTTGTTTGTTTTTTTTTTCGTTATAAGAATTAATTTTCTCCAGAGTTTTAACCATCCATATGTTTTCTTTTCCCAGAATTTAATTGTCCTGAACCCACTCACAGTGACAGAGGAGGAAATAAGACCATCACTAGAGAAACGCCTAGAAGCCATCATCAGTGGGGCTGCACTGCTGGCTGACTCTTCCTGCACCAGGGACTTCCACCGAGAGCGGATTATCGCCGAGTGCAATGCCATCCGCCAGGCTCTCCAGGACCTGCTGTCGGAGTACATGAACAATGTAGGTGACTGGTTGCTTTTCCTCCTCGTATCTTCTTGGAACGAGTTTGAGCATTTGCTAGGCTGCTACAAAGGAGGAGGTGATTTTATGGAAAGTGACGTTGAGAGTGGGTTCTGTGACTTTTTCAGGAGGAAGCATACTTTTAGGAGTTTGGAAGGTTGAAGTCATAATTGGAGAAATATATGCCTGTGGTTGGTTGGTTGGAGAAGCCTCTAAATCTCAGTTGGAGAGGCAGGGTTGGAGGAACAAAACAAGCATTGCACATTAGTTTAGAGGATCCGAAGAAGAGAGAGTGGTATATTGGTTGGAGTGGAGTTGGCAACAAAGGGGCACTTGAAGTTAGAATCTAGGTGGTGTAAGATGTGTCAGTGGTGTGGAGATCTGGAGCTGGATTTGAAGAGGTGAAAAGCACAGGCCTTTTGATTGGATACAGTTGTCATCTCCAAATGTGATAGATATGGTGCCATAGGATTTCCTGCCGGTGGGAACCAGCAGGACGTTTGAAAACACGGAAATTTTAAGTATTTGTTTCAAGGTTCCTTTCGTTCGATTCTGTACTGTACATGTATCTCAGAACTGTTACTAAAACAAACAAGAAGCTCTCAGGATAACCTAGCTGTACAGTCGTCCCTGCAGGTCATGGATTCGAATTTGCTCCTGTGGCTTTTTTTTTTTTTTTGAGACAGGGTTTCTCTGTAGATTTGAAGCCTGTCCTGGAACTCGCTCTGTAGACCAAGCTAGCCTCGAACTCACAGAGTTCCGCCTGCCTCTGTCTCCTGAGTGCTGGTATTAAAGGTATGGACCACCATTTCTCAGCTGTTCCTGTGGCTTTAACTCCTTATAGGCAATTGTTGGCTGAAATAATTACATGGAAAATTTAAAAAAGCTTACATTTGAAATGAACTTCACCAGTATATATTTTATTATTCTATATAATTTGTTGTTGTCCACTTTTTCTATTGTTCTTAAATTACAAATGAACCTGTCACAGATATGTTTATATAGGAAACATTGTGGCACTTCTAGAGTTTAGAACTGCTCTTCAGACATTCACTGTGTGCTGTGGAATGTATCTCTTACAGATGAGGAGGGAACGTTATATATTCATCATGAAAACTTCTTAAATCATTGAACTACATAGTTAAAACATTTTCTTTATCTACCCTTATCTAAGTGAAGCAATTCAAGATTTATATAGATATGTTTGAGCAATTATTAGTCACGGAGCATATGGCTTTTTGGTTAAGAAATTGCTTGTTTTGAGTCTTTAGGTAGATAAATGAAATGTGTGAAAATCAATGAGTTTTCGAGTCCCTTGAATACATTTGATGTATCTCCATATTCTTAATATTTGATGCTTTGACTACTGACCAAAAAGCTCTTTCCTGTCAAGAAATCAAAGTTGAGAAGCAGATTTTGTTAATAAGAAGAACATGTTAGTTAAGCCACGCCCTGCTTAAATATCTGAAGTAAGAATGTTGCCAGTTTCAGCATATGAGATTTTTCTTATTAAAGATTGCTCAGGGCAGTTCATCAATCACAAGAAACCTAGAAACTGAAAAGTGTTAAAAATATTATTCTCATCTTTATAAAGTGTAATAAAGTTATACATATTTTTATTTTGCATATAAATTATGAAATCATAAATAAAGTTCACTTTATTTAAAGTAGTTGCACTCGTTACAGATATATAGATATATGAACATCCACACTAACCTGCACAGATTTAGTAGTAATGGATTCATGATTTATGTGGTCTGATATAAAATGAAAATGAGACTTCTTATTTAAAACAGGCAGAGAAACATTTTTTTTCATAGTCACTCGTAATAAATGAAATAAATCTTTATTTGCTACTTAATGCTAGGCTTCCCAGGTCAGCCTACCTGTGGAGTGAGGGCACAGAACCTCAAAGGCATTTGTGGTCAGGCTCCATCATGTTTCCAAGGTCACCTTCCGGAGAGAAGAGCTGTCTTATTTGGTGTTAGAAAGCCTGCGCTTGGCAATCGTCTCAATACATTTCCACTCTGTGATGATGTGTTATCCTAGACACATCCCCTTGTCCTACTGGTTAAGATTTTGAGCCCTTCTGTGTTAAATCCAAGGGGATCCCATTCTAACGATTCATTTCTTTTTGTTTTGTGTATGTTCTGTCTATTCGTGTATATTTATCACATGTGTGCAGTTCCCACTGAGGCCAAACGTGGGCACCAGGTCTTCTGGAACTGGAGTGACAGATGGTTGTGAATGGCCATGTGGGCGCTAGAAACTAAAATCAGGTTTTCTGAAAGAGTATTAGGTACTCCACCTGCTGAGTCCTCTGCTCCGCTTCCATCAGTTCTCATGAACAGGAATGTTCTTTCTTGGCATGAGCTGAGCTCAAGTCTTGCTCATTTTGTACATCTTCAGGAGGGCTCTGGAATTTTGAAGAACATGCCACCTTCCCTGATGGATCTGGTATAGATCCTTCAGTACCTTTCATATTTTTTGCCTTTATGGACTTTACAATTCCGGCACAAAGACAATCACAGAAAGAAACTTCATGTTATTAGTTCTCATGAGAATCTGAGGATCTCTTAGGCGGATGTGTCATTAAGGCTCAGCTCCACATTCCATGTCTGTTGCGTCCAGATCATATCAGCAGTGGTACACAATGATTTGAGATTCAGTCTGTCGGAGCACATGGTTATTTTCTGAGTTAAAATAACCTTTTTTTTTTAAAAAAAAAAAAAACAAAAACCAGCAAGTTTTTAATCCTAGTGTTTTTTTTGAATGCTAACAGCCATTTCTCACAGATATACTCCTAACTACTTTATTGGAAGAAATTATTTAAGACAGACAATATTTCCAAAATGGACTTTCAAGACAGGAGTAGAGATCTTACAGGTAAGGGGAAAACTCAAAATATCCTTTTGTATACTTTACTGAAGTATCAGAGCTTCTTCCCAAGACACTCACACAAATGAAATTGATTTCTGAGTGCCAAAAAGACCACCATGTAAAGATGAAAACCCCACATCAGCATTTCCGGAGAACTCGCCCCATCTGTCAGTATCAGCTTTTAGTCAGTTATGCAGTTCTTTTCTTTTCAACCCATTATAGGAATAGAGCTCAGATTCGAAGGTCCATACTGGTAAATCACATGTATGCTTTGTTTATTTTACCCAACCATGAGATACAATGCCTGACATTAAGAAAAAACTGAGTTGCATTTTTCAAAGGAGGAATGAATGAAAGGATTGCATATTGTACATGTCATGTAATGAAGAAACAACCTCTTTGACATGCAGCACGTTTCAGGCACCCTACTGAGTTTATGTGACAAAACCCCTGTGGCAAAACCTCTTCTTTTGCAAAGAACAGGCTTCTTCCAAAAGTCTGTGGGACTCTCCAGGATCATTTATCATCATTTTTTTCGAGCACAGTTCTACCATTTGGATTTACATCTGGCCATGCTCCAACATAGCGTTTTTATTCATTTGAGGACATGCTCCAGGGAACATTGAGAGTCAAAAAAGCATAACTTCTTTCTCATAGAACCTAGGAGTGGATATTCCTAAGATATGTCTGCTAGCTTTGCTATACTTTTATGATGGGCTAGGTCTAGTCCATCGTTTTGGTAAAGAACTTAAGAAAAATTTCAGAGTGGAGTAAAACTACCTTCTCAGTGGTGGGAGAGAAGGGCACAGGGGAGCTATTTATCTTTACATGTTGGGTGATCTCTTTTATAACTAATGGAAATGGGTTTTGAAGGCGAAGAGCCATCATGTTTGAGTTTTTAGATATCAGCAGACATAGGTATTTTGGGGGGGGTGGTTAAAAATCATGTGGTGTTGAGTATGGAGGCATGGCTGCACAGGACCTTCAGCTAGTGTGTGTGAATTGGTAATATTAGCACTCAGGTGACACTTATTTCTAGGGGATTTTAGAGCACAGAGTGACAGATGCTGCTGCTCCAATAGACAAGGCAGACTCGAACTTCATGCAAGGGCTAATTTATGTTTCCATAGATCTCAGCTGCTCCGTGTTTTCTTCTGTTCTCAGATGTGAAAGCACACATTTGATTCTCATTGTTTAGTGAGTAAATAATCCAATAAACTGGCTTTTGGCATTCAGAAAGAAATTTCATTTGTGTGACTTCAATGCATTACCTATCATGGGAAGCTCTGAGGCTTCAGGGAAGCCGACAAAGAGAGAGTGAGATTTCTCCTTGCATACAGGATCTCCACTTCTGTCCTAAAAGTGCATTTGGGAAAGAAGCTCTGCCTTGACTATTTTCTTTTAATAAAGTAGTTAGGGTGTCTGTGAGAAATGGCTGTTAGCACCAAAGAAGTGTTAGGATTAAACATTTTCTAAATATAGAGTTCTAAAATATGAAATGGCTCAGTTGGCAAAGTGCTAGCCATGGAAGCATAGAGACTGAGTTGGATCCCTCAGGACCACATACCAGAGCCGAGAGTGGGAGCTTGCAGGCTAGCAGTAGGCCTTTGCTGGCCAGAGAGTTAAGCTGAATCAGCAAGTTTCCTGTTGAGTGAGAGACCCTGCCTCAAAATGAGCAGTGTGGCTGGCTCCTGAGAAATGATACTTGAGATACACATTTCCATACATGCACACACCTCCCAGCACTTGTGCACACAAACATTTTTGTGTGTTTACATAAAAGAAAACAAACAGAAATTCTGAATAGAGAATTTTTCAGAACTATTTTTTTTCTTTGCTTTCCCCTTATGGACTGCATCTTACAACTGTTGTTATTAACTCAGGTTTACCGTGCTTGACACTTGGTTTTATATTCTAAATTTCCCCAGTATGCCATGATGGTTGGATGGCTGCTCATGTTGGGAACACTGGCTTTTCAGTTTCTACCTATCTTGCATTTACAACCTTAACTAACTTAAAAGAAATGAGTTGTATCTTTTTTAGGCTTGCACAGTATTAGATTTGCTAAAATCAGAGCTGGCAAGCTTAGAGCATGTGACCAAAGTCCAGGAAATGATAAA